AAATCTGTTGACATCTAAAGGTCCAGCAAAGGCTTCTCAAAATCTACCTAAAATTGCTTTTGCAAGATTACAGAGGCAGTTCATGCCTCTGTGTAACAGAGGTGAGGGAAAAGGAACAGTTTTCAGTGGGGGGTTCATTACAACCCAATTCAGCCTTCACTATAAAATGAACTGCATAATTCAGCTGTGCATAAAAGTGAGCAAAGAAAGCTCGTAATTATAAACTTATAATCAAATTGCACACATTCTGCAGCATTTGGAGTTAGATACAAGCTTTTGTGAGCAGCATTACAGAGGCAAATTTGACATCGAACACTACTATAAATAGAGTATAATGGCTCATTCTGTGATACTTACAGATACCCTGGAGCTGGCTCTTACTCTGGCTACAAAGTCTTTTTCTTTCTCAGCAGCTTGCCTTTGGAGTTTTTGGAAATTTGCTAGTGCTGTGGTGAACTCCCCCACAAGACGGTCTTTCTGTATTTTCCTTTGACGCTATAGGAGAAAAAGTTTTACCAAGTCAAATGAGCTCAGGCTTTTCAAGGCTCTGCCATTCCAGGCTGCTGAATGCTAAGGCATATAGTCCCTTCCCTCCCCACCCCCAAATAGGTGGAAGGGAAGGCTGTCTACAAAACCATTTGCAACTGCAAACCTTCCTCCCCCCTGGGATCATGTAACTGCCACAACTTACGGCATTTAGAGAGGAAACCAATGTATTTAGTTTCACTTAACAGCTGGAAATAAGAAATGGTCAGGGACAAGAAAGCTTCTACCTTCCTTATTATATGTGGATTATAAAACCTACAGGTTAAGCGTGAAACAGTTTGATACCGTGGATACTAAAATATGCAAAGGTGTCTGAATGGGGGGAGGGGGCAGAAAAGAAAGAACAGGGCACTCTGCATGTATTCTACATAAATGCTGAAAATAAAAAAAGCTGCATCCAGAAGCGGGTTCACATACCCCCCTTAAGTTCTTAAGAACTGGTACAAAAATATCCTTCAAATCTTTCAGGCTTTTTTTAAGATGTAGGGGAGGGAAGAGCAATACTGGGCACTCAGGAAAGCCTCCAATATTTCCCTAAATACATACGTTACATCAACCTTTCCTTCCAAATTTCTGAGGTTATAATCTACCATTCATCAACCTATTATTTATGCATTTCATTGAGAGCAGTCTTTGATGAAGACACTCATGATAAAAGGAGTAAAATTAAAGAGTAAAACACCTCACTGCCAACTTTACAGCTCCAAATAAAGAAACCATAAAAAAACCCCAAACATATTTTGCCAGAACTAGAGAATATATACCAAGACCAAGCTTTAACACCTCTGTCAGAAGTTTAACAACTTGACAAGACGAGCACTGCCATTTCAATTCAGTGTTTCAGGACAATCCATTTTCCTAAAGGTTCCTTGGTAACCAGCCACAGACCAAGCAAGCTGTTTGAGTGACAGTAACCTGAATCCATGTTTTCAGGGATCCTGTTGCTCTTCCCTCACTTAAGCAACAGATTTCGCTAGGATAAGAAACAACAAGATAGCAGGCAGCAGCATGCTAATGACAACTGCCACTTCACATGTTACCTCCTGCCAAGATTTTACACAAACCTGGGAAAGAAGCAGTTTTAAGACTGCACAAGTTGTTTCAGTAACAGCTCCTGTCCACTCCTCTTAAAGGAAAAGCCTGTGGATAAGATGCAGCATATGTGCTGGTCTGAGTGATGCAAACAGACCTACTGCACATAATCAAATTATTCAGACACTGAGTGAACAGGTCTGGCCACCTGCCCCACAAGCAGTTTCGGCAGACAACTCTTCGCCCCTGGAAGCAGCCAGCGTGCCCGCAGGCTCTGACGGCATCACTGCAACTGATCACAGAATGCCCAGCTACAGGAAATCACAGGCACAGCACGCTGCTTTCATTCCTACCGTTTCAGTCAAACTGCATCATTCCCGATACATAAAAACCAACTTTGGAACAAGTCTGAACTGCAACAAAAGTATTCTCATGTTGTAAGTGTCCCTGTTGTGTAAATACGTTGACTAAACAGTGCTTTGAAAGCCTGGTGAGGAGCATAAAAATAAGCATGCAGAACTGAAGTCACCTGAATACTCTGCATGAGCCAACACGAGTCAAACAAGACATGCTCTTTGGTTTTATACCTGTTCACTTGTTGCAGGCAACGATCCAAACTCTTTAATGTATTTGTCAGTTTCTTTGGCAAGCTGGTTGGTGTATTGCTGCTTCTGTTGCCTAAAAACAAAGGCAAAGCTTCATTAGAGACCACTGGGTTACTTTGTTTGAATTCCACTGATTCTCAGAGAAATACCAATACGAAATGTTTCTGTAAGGTCCATGAAGCCATCTTCACGCTGTTCTTCACTGTAAAGGTGTGACACCAAGAATTCCAGGCGGGACAAATCCTGAAGAAGGTGCGACAGCATCATTATTCACCTTTTGTTTTTTTCAGGATTTTTAAATTTTCCTATTGTGCAGCAACAGGTTTCTAGTCATTATGAATATTTACACATGATTTTCCTAGTCCTTTTAAGACTATGAGTAGCTGGAAACACATGGTCATTTCTGAGTTCAGAATAACTGTAGGAAGGGCCACATTTTTTCTGTGCGGAAAAACTTACTGTGGTTTAAGTATAACTCCAACACCACAGTTCATAAAACGTCAATTCCTGATAATTACTAGGAAGGTTATCCAAAGAGATCTATAATCCCCCATCATACAATAGCTGTGAACTTAGCTGAAACCTTCATTACTTACTAAAAGCTTTAACTGTGCTTAAAAAAAAGCCTTGTTTTCAACGGCACTGCTATTTTGGGGGTTTTTTTTAGTCTCTTTGCTTCTGATATCACACACTCCTTTACCAATCTTTGTATTTTTGCCCTGGAGCAACTCAAATCCTTTACATGCTTTTACATTCTCCTCCCTAGTACATATATATACGGGTTTCATCTGGAAAACTATTAACAAAAAAAAATATCAGTATTTAAAATAATCTAATACCTCTTCAGACACATGCCAACATGGAAAGAAGGGACAAACATTCAAACAAGTGAAAAAGGGACAGAAAACTCAAAGCAGCTCACTGCATATATGTAGTGAGCTTGAGTTTATGATAAGACATATATCATAGAATCATAGAATGGTTAGGGTTGGAAGGGACCTTAAAGATCATCTAGTTCCAACCCCCCTGCCATAGGCAGGGACACCTTGCACTAGACCAGGTTTCTCAAAGCCACATCCAGTCTGGCCTTGAAGACATCCAGGGATGGGGCATCCACAGCTTCTCTGGGCAACCTGTTCCAGTGCCTCACTACCCTCTCTGTGAAGAATTTCTTCCTGACATCTAATCTATATGTATCTCATCCCCCATAATTGGACTGGAACGTGTTCTTCACAAAAGTTTCTATCCCGTTTAGTTGTGAATTTATACCTATTAGATCCTGGCTGGTTACTGCATGAACTGCATATGTAGATCTCCATCTACCCGCAGTCTCCAGCAGGACACTCACTGCGGACTGTACCTGGCTGATGTTACGGGCCCTCAACTTGAGCTATTATAAGGCAATTTGGCTGTTCACACAAACTGGAGGCAACGCCTTCGGTCCAATGCACACTGCCTCCGTAGCAGCAGCCACGGCATTAACCACACTGAAGACTGCCCACTTTCTCACCCACAAGGTTAGCACAGCGCGTCGCTTAGGTGCATTTATGATGCTGAGATTAATGTGGTAAAGGAGTTTAACGGAAAAACGATCACACTGGTTCATTAGATCGTGCGGTGAAGCGGAGAGCAGCTGACTGTCTGGGCCAGAGGCATATTAATGAAGGTCCAACTTCAAGTGATTGAACTGTCGCATCTGCCTTGCAGCCTTATTTCACTTACACTTTTTCAGTACTTCTGGCACTGGTTTATTCTGGCACTTCTGGTTTATTCTACAATGTCATCCCTTACTGTATCTTTCATCCCTAAAAAGACATTCCTCTCTACTTTCCAGTACCGCATCTCACAAACCCCCCGCCATGCACTCATCACCTCGTGAAACTTACACGGACAGATTTGAAGTGCTGACTGGGGTGGAAGGGGGCAGTGTTTGTTTTAAAAACAGAAACATTGATTTCTGATCCTGCACTTTTCCCTTTGCTGACATACAGCATCATTTTTATACGTGTATGGATACTGCACGCAACGTACGTGGGCAAACCAGCTAACTCTAGTTTACAAAGACTACCCAAGATTAATTGTAAAAGGGTCAAATTTCCAACATTTCTCTGCCCTACCCCTCCTCAGTGAGATCAAGCACTCAGCTGAACATAAAACCACCTCATCACCTACCAGGAGATTGTTTACAGTGCAATGAAATCAAACGTTTTCATGTGAAGTACTCACAGCTGTTGCCTCAACTCTGGCGTGTCTTGCGGTGTTCCAAGCTGATGGAGTATTCTTTGTATTTCGGCAGCTGTTTGCAAGGAAGAGGAGAAATTTTAATGGGGCACAGACAATTCCCACTTAATTTTATGCATTTTTGCTTGACAATTCTAAAGCCATAAAAGTTGACAGAAACTGATACTCAAGACTTTTTCAACCTACTACAAAGACTCCACTTAACAAGTCCCAGAACAACTAGTGAATGGTTTCTGCCAAGACAAAGACAAAGCCCAGGGTTTCTTATAAAGGATGGAAATGAACATATTCAAGTGTCTAGGTAGAAACAGTCAATTAAAAGATCAGTCAATAGTTTCACTGTAGTAAGTATAAGCCAGACCATTTAAAATTATTTTTTTAAATAAGCAGCACAATTCTTACTCTGGTTTAATGGTATTTTACACTGTTATGGAAAGCCATATGAAAGACTGCCATGACATTATCATACACATAAATATTTCAGAACAAGTGCATTAATGAAGAGACAGAAATAAAGCATTCATGGGCATACAGTACATTAAAATAATACAAAGGGAGTCAGGTGTCCAGGTTTATACTGTAATTTTGAGATTCTTGCTCTATGTATATATGGGTTTTTTTTAATGTGGGTACAAACCGCCAGTGATGTTTAAGTGTATTTCATAAGATATATTTGTTTGAACTACAAAAAAGTGTAACACATCATACGAGCCTTATTTTCAGCTTAGTATATTATACTGTCACATGAGAAAGCAGAGAGAAAAATGGACAATTTAAGGACACGCAGTTTATCACACTGTGAAACTAATATCCAACAGGTACTCTTTCTCAGCTTAACATATTCACATCTTCTGAAAAGAAAGAATACATATGTATCCTTGTCTCTAAATTGGAGAGGCACAGATGTGACAGGAGGACCACTCAGTGGATAA